GAAAAAAACTCATGGAATCCGTACCCCCCCCCCCCCAAACCCGAAATTCGGGTCAAATTCTTTACGCTTCGCGTATCCCCACCAGCCCATCTCAAAACAGCAACTCTTGCGAAGCATGCCGACAGTCGTGTTTTTCAGGCGTGTTTCCGCCTGCCCCCGCATATCTCCCCTGTTCCTCCTTCCTCCCGCCTCCTTGTACATCCTCCTTGTGGTGGGAGCGGGAGAAGGACGAGGCGGAGGAGGAGGGAGAGAAAGCGCTCCTCGTGGTTTGAGTCGTTTGGGGTTTCTTCGTCCTGGTGTGAGTCGTTCGGGCCCTTCTTCCTGGTGTGAATCGTTCGGGCTCTTCGTGATGTGAGTCGTTCGGGCTCTTCGTCCTGGTGTGAGTCGTTCGGGCTTCTCGTGGTGTGAGTTGTTCGGGCCCCTCGTCGTCGTGTGAGTCGTTCGGGCCCCTCCTCCTGGTGTGACTCGTTCGGGCTCCTCGTGGTGTGAGTCGTTCGGGGCCCTCGTCGTGGTGTGAGTCGTTTTGGGAGCCTCTTGGAGGCCTTTTGGGGCGTCTTCGGGGCCTCTTGGCGGCCCCAGGGGCTTCTAGGAGCGTCTTGGGTGCCTTGGGGGAGCCTCTTCGGGCCTCTTGGGAGCCTCTTGGAGGCCGTTTGGGGCGTCTTGGGGGCCTCTTGGCGGCTCCAGGGGCTTCCAGGAGCGTCTTGGGTGCCTCGGGGGAGCCTCTTGGGGCCTCTTGGGCGCCTCTTGGGGGCATCTTGGGGGCCTCTTGGAGGCCTCTTGGGGCCTCTTGGGACTCTTTGGGAGGGGTCTGGGAGGAATCTTGGGGCCATCTGTCGGGCGATCGATCACAGATGGGGCGAGCACTTTTCTCCCCCCCCCCGTCGGGGCCAGAATCCTCGTGAGGGGTGTCGAATTTTAGCCCTCCCAGGAGTCGAAAAAGACCCCTCCAACGACCCGCGAGACGCCCTCTCCAGGCCCAGGGGGAAGGGGTAGGGGGAGGGGTAAACCCCTCCCCGAAGGGGAAGAAGGGGGTTGAGAACAGAGCGGGCTCTCTAAACCACTCACGCCCAAAGGGCTGGTGGGATTCGGGTCTTCGGGTTGGGTTGGGGTGGTCTGGTAGGTAGTCAGGGTGGGGGACAGAGGCGCGGTTAGCAACACCCGAGGCAGGCCCAGGGTGGGCTTCGAAGTCTGAGGGTGATTGCCGGTTCTCCAGCAGGCGTGCCCGAGGTGCCCCGAACAGCCTCCGAGGGGCCGAGTGTTTCGGCGGCGAGCGAGGGAGGGAAGGGAGAAGCAGAAGGCCCTCTTCAGAAGGCGGCGGGACTCCTCAGAAGCCCTCGCTCCTTCTGCGAAGTGTTCGTTTGTCTTCGGGGGAGGGCATAGAAAACTGTTCAGAAGGCTGGGGGACTTCCGAACCTCTTGAGAAGGCCTTCTCCTTCCCTCGTCTCCCCCTCGCTGGCCGGCAGGAGTCGTGGCCCGAAAGCCTGGGGGGCCAACGTCTGTGTTCACGAAGGGGAGGGTTACTAAAGGGAGGTTTGTCCACCGCCGACAGTCACCCTCTGAGCCTCAGCTGCCTCGATACGTCCGTTATGATGCGCAAGACATACCGTGCTCAAGACGTACGTGTCCGTACGTTGCGCGTGGTTGCCCACGTTTTGGCGAACGAGGAGGAAGAGGTGGAGGAGGAGGAGGAGGAGGAGGAGGAGGAAGCGGAGGAGGCGGAGGAGGAGGAGGAGGAGGCGGAGGAGGAGGAGGAGGCGGAGGAGGAGGCGGAGGAGGAGGAGGATCGCGTCAGACCGACGTCTTCACGTTCTCAGTCGACGCGTTGAGCTCCATGTCGACACGCTACGTGTTGCGTACTGCGTGTCGGGTCAGCTAAGCTCTGAGCCAGTCCCCTTCCCTACCGGTAGTCTTAAGTCGGACCTGTCCCTCTACAGGAGGAATATTCAAAAATAGACAAAAATAGTCTGGGGACGATTTTTTTACTATGTTTGACCATTTTGGAGTATCTTGGGTGTATTTTTTATTTGTCGTCTAAAATCCCCCTGTAGGGGGACAGGCCCGACCTAACCTTAGTCCCCCCTTATCGTTGCACCTCAGGTCCTGAGGGAAACGGGGCCTCCCCACGGGCTCCGCGACCGCCATCACAAAACCGACTCGGGATGCAGAGCTGCTCGTACGGAGAGGAGGCTCCAGGGCCCAGGCTCTCGAGCTCCAGCGCCACGGCGACATGGAAACATCGCTGGAAGTCGCGACCAGAGCCCCAGACCCAATTTCAGACATGATCGCGTCCTGTCCTGGGGAGAGGGTCGAGACTTCCAGGGACCCCGTAGTGAAAAAAATCAGGACGTCGCACGTCGGGGATGTCACCGCGCCATTTTTCGAGCCGGACCGATCTGTGTCCCGGGCCCGAAGTCCGGCGAAACGCCCGTTGCGAAACAATTGCAACGGCGGGATCTCAGGGACCCGTTTCCCTTGGGGCCTCTGGCGGTGCGCAGGAACGACCCCTCGCGAGAGTGGCCTCAGTGCGGGCCCGCAGGGGCCCTCCCAACACCGGCCGGCGCGCCTGGATTCAGCAGCTTCCCCCCAGCCCCCAAAACGCCGCGCACCAGACGGCATCCCCAGGCCTCCGGCGCCGCTTCTCTTGCACAGCGTGGGCCCCCGGAGGTCTGGACCTGCTCCCCTGGGACCGGCTCTTCACCCCGAGCCGTCGTCGGAGGGCCCCGGGGCCTGCTTTCGAGGGGAGGCTGAGCAATAATTGCTTTGGCGGCGTTGTCCGCCGCGAGGCTGAGCTCGGACGTCCCACGTCGGTCGGTCGTCGTCGGCTGCCGGCCCTCTTCGGTCGGTTTCTCGTCGCGCTGTTCTTCGCCCGACGTCGCCGGCGCTCTTGGGCCGCCGACGCATCTTTAGTCTCTTCGCCCCAGGGAGGTTTTACTCGGACGGGGCCAGGACGAGGACACATCCGTTCCAGAGCGTCCCCGGACGCTCCTCAGAGAGTTCCAGAACGCGCTGGGAAGGCCGCGGCGCCCGAGACGTCCTCCAGAGCCGCTGGAGCTCCGAGCTCTTCTCGATCTCAACTGCGCCCGATGCTGCACCCTCGTCTTGACGTGCGTCCTACACGTGCCAACAGTCTTGCAGCCGACAGTCAGCAGGCGAAAACGCACCCCCACCCCCAGTCCCGACGCCCATCCCCGAGCCGGCGATTGAAGGGGTCGGGGCTGGGGGTGGGGGTGAGTTTTCCCCAGTCCTGGACCCCGAAAAGCCACCCCCAACCCCCAGTCCCGACCCCCTGGATCGCGGGTTCGGGGATGGGGTCGGGATTGGGGGTGGGGGTGGGGGTGGGTTTCCGCCTTCTCAGACAGGTCCACCCGCCTCCGCGGCTCGCCGAGGGCCCCGTCCGCGCGCACGAGCCCGCGCGGCTCCACGGCCCGCTCGCCCGCCGCCGCGCCCGACCCGCCGCACCACCAAACGGCGGCTGCCCGCCGGCGGGGCCGCGGGTCGTGGGCCGGGGCGCCGCCCGCGGCCGAGGGGCGCGGCGACGCAGGACGTCGGGCCCTCAGGAGGAGGAGGAGGAGGAGGAGGAGAAGGAGGAGGAGGAGGAGGAGGAGAGGAGGAGGGGGAGAGGAGGAGGGGAGGAGGAGGAGGAGGAGGAGGAGGAGGAGGAGGAGGAGGAGGAGGAGGAGGAGGAGGAGGAGGAGGAGGAGAGGAGGAGGAGGAGGAGGAGGAGGAGGAGGAGGAGGAGGAGGGGGAGGGGAGGGGGAGGAGGAGGAGAGGAGGAGGAGGAGGAGGAGGAGGAGGAGGAAGAGAGCCCCTGAGAGCCCAGACCTGCTCGCGCCATAAGAGAAAGCAGTCCCGGGGAAAGGGTCGGGACTTCTGGGGGCCCCGTATTGGAAAAAGTCGCGTCGTCGCGCGGCCTGGAGAGGGAGAGCCCTGAGATCCTGGCGCTGTAATTCTTTAACAACGGGCGTTTCCGCCAGGTTTCGGCCCCCTGGACCCTCACAACTCGATCCAGTTCGAGAAATGAAACACAAAGATGAGGTCTAGTGCTCCAGTCGCGATATTTCACGACGTTGCACTTTTTGTCGCAACGTCGGATCTCATGGATCCCCCCGTAACACAGAGAAGACGTGGCCTCACTTAGGCCCCTTTCATTGCATTAGAGATAAAATATAAGTCTGGCCGGTCTGGCTCGATGCACCTGCCGAAAAATAAGACCCCCCTGATCCTAGTGCTTTTGGCCCTCCTAACTTAGGTCCCCTCCCCAAAGGTTCAGGGTCTTCCTATTGCTAAGCATCGAGGGCCCTGAGACCCAGACCCCCTCGCGTCGTCAACAAACAAGTATGAGCAATTGTTGTGCTCCAGGGGCACTTGTTGGGCCCCAGCGCCGTCAGAAAACTGCACAGGATGGAAAGCCGATCCCGGGGAGTGGATCTAGGCCTCCCAGGTGGGTCGATCTAGGCCTCCCAGGTTCGATCTAGGCCTCCCAGATGCGATCTGGTCAAGGCGACGCAGGACACCGATCTAGGCCTCCCAGACTCGAAGAAGAAAGAAAAACATGAGAAAGCTCCGTGCGGATATCTTGGATCGGCGATGGGGCCCCCTGGCGTCGCCTCTGGCGCCGCCTCTGGCGCCGCCCCTGGCGCGCTCCGCGCGTCAGCCAGGTTGGCCCAGCGCAACTCCAGGAATTCCGCGCGGTCCTCCAGAAGTTTATGCTTATAAACCTTATGTTCTCTTTGTCTCTGGGCCTCCCAGACGGGGTCGGAGCAGATGGGGTCGGAGGATCGCGCCGCATCGCCGATGCATCGGCGATGCGGCTCGATGTGGAGCCAGATGCTCCCCACGCAGGCGTCGCCGACGCATCGCCGACGTCGCCAGTGCATCGCCGATGCATCGGCGGGCAGGGCGCGCGGCCGGGGAGCGTATCGAGGACCAGGGCCCTGAGATCTGATCCGAGCCGATCCTCCTCTTCGGGCCGTCGTCGACCGTCGTCGGCGCTCGAAGGCGCACATGGCCTCTGCGGCGTGGAGCGCCGACGACGGATCACTGCGGCTCGAGAAGGAGGGATCGAGGATGGAGGATCGAGGAGGGTCAGAACAGCAAAGGCTGCAGAGATCGCTACCGATGATTATATCGGTTGGATTTGCCTCGGAATTCTGGCCGCAACGCGCCCTGGCGTGGGTCGAGGAGCAGGGATCGAGGATCGAGGAGCCCCGAGATCCGTGCGTCGCAATTGTTTTACAGCGGGTGCTTTCGCCCAGTTTCGGGCCCTGGGGCCCTCACAGATCGATCTGGCCAGAAGGATGTCCCAGGAGTCTTATGGGGCCCTGGTCTTGATTTTGTGTGGTGTTGCATTTTTGGGTCGTCGTCGGATCTCAGGCAGCCCAGATCTCAGACGGCATGATGTTTTTCAATCCTGGCCTCTCTTCCTCGATTTCGAACCCCAGGCCCGTCATCGGGCTGGGGACCATCAAACACGGATCCCGGACGGCACACTGGCCCCGGGAAAGGCGTCGGGAGCTCTACAGGACCGCGGATTGAGAGCTTCGGGGGATGCTCGGACGTGTGCATTTTTCCTTCGGCGAGGACACGAGGGGCATCCTTGATCATTTGGCGAAAAAAACACGCACGAAGCCGAAAAAAGCAAAGGGAATGGACGTCCGAGCGATGCCCCGGGCCCCAGGCCTCTGCGATTTGGGCGTCGCAGTTTTCTCCCACAGGGCGTCTTCGCCCCGTCTGGGGCCACAGGCCCTCGCAGCTCGACCCGGCCGCCGCAGACAGCTGGCTAGGGTCTGTTGCATCTTCGGGGGACCTCGCCTGTCCCAAGAATTGGTGTCTTTTGGGGGGCCCGACGCGTGCTCGATGCGGACTCGACGCGGATTTGGCGTGGATTCGACGCGGATTCGACACGGATTCGACACGGATCCGACGCGTCCGACATGGATTCGACACGGATTCGACGCGGACAGGGCCGCGACGGGACAGACAAGGTCCCCCGAGGATGCAACATAAGTTAGGGCTCTGGTCGTGATTGTTGCAACGTTTCCGCAGCGTCGGAGCTCGGGTCCTCGCGGTTGCCCAGCCTCAGCTTCGGCAGAGGCCCCTCAGCGGGTGCCGGGGCCGTCAGCAAAGGGATCGGGATGGAAAACCAGTCCCGGGTAATTGGTCCAGATTTGCGGGGGTCCCTGTTGCGGACCAAAAAAGCGAGGACGGAGGTCTGGGAGCAGCAAAAGCTCGGCCTTTCCTGCTCGTCTTTCGTGCGCCAGGGAACTTGTCCCTGCCCTCCAGAGTTGAAGTCAGCGCATCGAGGCACGCGGGCGGGGGGTCGTTCAGCCAAGTGCCCAGCACCCGTCAATTCTGCACGGGCCGTTCAGCAAAGAGTGCCCAAATGCGCCTCTCCATTCTGAAGGGCTGCTCAATGATGACATTTCGTCGAAAGCCACCCAGCGGTGCCGCGTTGACTGCGACGAGACATGCAGGATGAGCATGACTCGCCCTGGAAGCAATCCAGAACGCTCCGAGCCAGCCGCGGCGCCAGACACGTCTTTCCGACCCGCCGACGTTCGGACATTCCCCTCCTCCTCCTCCTCCTCCTCCTCCTCCTCCTCCTCCTCCTCCTCCTCCTCCTCCTCCTCCTCCTCCTCCTCCTCCTCCTCCTCCCGTAGCCATTCTGGCTCAAGTACGAAACCGTGGCCCTGCGGTTTCGTATTTGCCTGCATCCGAGGGGCTGGCTCGAGGCGAGCCGGCCCACAGCAGGCCTCCGAGGGTGGCAGGGCAGCCCCTGCCTCAAGCCCTCTTCCCTTCGGATTTCAGCACCTGTCGGTTCGGAGCCCGCGCTCCGCCCGCAACCACGATCTCTCCAGCAAGACTCTTCTTTGGCACGCTCGCCCTCGTCAGTGCTGCGCCATGGCTTCCCGCGGCAAGTACCTGGTGTGCCCCCGCGCCAAGTGCCGCGGGTGGGAATGGGCGCCTGCCAAGGCTTGCTCGCAGTGCGGCTCGCACCTCCAGGCCCTCGGCCAACGGAGTCGAGCGAGCAGCAGGCAGCCCTCCCACCCGCCCCGCACCAGTGGCCGAGGGGGCAGAGGAGCTGCTTGGGAGCCTCGAGTTCGATTTGAGGATGGCAGGAAAGAAGAGTCGTCACCGCATCAGCAATCGCCTGACAAAGATCCAGGAGCCCCCGCCCAACCTGACCCAGTCGCACTGGCTCAGGCCCAAGTCACCTTCTGGAAGAAGTGGATCGGGGCGCAGGGAAAAGAGTACGCCGACGCTCTGGAGATACTCAAGCATGCGAAGATGGAAGCGCTGCGAGGCAAGAGTCTCGACCAGCAGACCCAGTCGCTGCACGACCAAGTGCAGATCACCAAGCAGAAAGTGGAGGGCTTCCAGCAAGAGCTCACCGACATCGCGGCGCAGATCACGTCCCTGGCCACCCAGTACAAGACGAGATCCAAGGAGCTCGCGGACACGAAGGACGAGCTGCAGCAGCTTGAGGCGCAGAGGGCCATGGCGGCCCACGCGGCTGCGCAGCAGGCATCCGAGAACACAGACATATCAGAGATGGCCTACGCGGCGCTGCAGGCGAAGATACCGCCAGGAGGAGTCGCCCCGCCAGTGCTGCAGGCTAAAGTGCAGGACCTGGCCAACACCTTCGACCAGCTCAAGAAGCAACACGAAAGTGCAGTGGCGGACAGCGCATCGCCGTCGCCAACGCCGACCCCGCCGCTGCCAGCGCCCACCCGGCCTCCACCGCCCTTTTCGGCACCAACGCCAGAGAGTCTGCATGATGGAATGGCCAAACCAGTTGGGCCAGACTCAGAGGAGGAGGACGAGGCCATGGCCTTCGTGGGCTGGGGCAGCGGCGACAAGCATGCCCTGGGCGAGGTCGCCGACATCATGGAGCAGAAGGACGAGGAGGCGGCCAAGAGACCCCGCGAGGCCACAAACGCTGGCCGACCAGGAGAATATAAGTCGCCTCTTCGACATCAGCAAGCCAGTTACCTTCAATGGCAGCTGCTGGCCAACATTCGAGCAGTTCGTCGAGTCGCAGTGGGTGAATGATGTGACGCTGATCTGCGCCCAGGAACACAGGCTATGCGACGGGGACATCATTGCCCAGAAGACCCAGTGGTGCCAGCAGAGGGGATGGCTGACACACATCCCATCAGCCAGTTTCAATGACAACGGGGAGCGCGGCAACGGAGTGGCCATCCTCGTCCGCAACGAGCTCGACCTCGGGGTTGAGCCGATGCACTTTCGAGAGCCACGTTGACAAGAGCCGCCTTGCAGGTGTCTGCCTGGAGGCCCCAGGCCTGCCGAAGGCAAGCCCCATGAGCACGTATTTCCTCGCCTCCGAGGGCCCATGCAAGACCAACCTGGGCCTGTTCGCAGGCATTGCGGTCCACCGGGACAGACTCCGCCCACCTATCATCGCGGCGGGGGATTTCAACCTGTCCCCCGAGAAGATCGAATTCACGGATGTGTTCAACAGGGCTTCTCTGAAGATTGTGGCCCCAGTGGAACCTACGTGTCGGAAAACCAAATCGAGCACTGTTCTGGATTATTTCCTGATCAGCGAAACCCTGGGCGAGTGGGCGGAGAAAGTTCAGACTTGGACCAGGTACCCGCTGTCTCCTCAAAGGCCAGTTTGTCTAGAATTTCAACGCGACGATAGCTTTCTCGCGCCAGTCCTGAAGAAGCCCCAGCGACTTCCCTCAGCCAAACCGTTCGGCCCGTCTAAGAGGCCAACCAGCTGGACCCAAAGCGAAAGTGCGAGTAGCCATGCCAAAGCTGCGCCTCATGATGCGGCCACGCCTCTCGGAACTCCACAGCGCCAGGCCACCTTGGACCACTGCTACTTCACAGTGGTTAAGGACCTCGAGCAGTCCCTCAGCTGCCTCACGGACATCCCTCTCAGACATTCTGCGGCCCCACGTGCGAGCCCCCCAGCGGTCAGATGGGCACGAGCCAAACGGCGCGGCACTAAAGTCCGTGATGGTTGGAAGTCTCTGGAGGCCCCACTTCGATGGCTTCGAAACCGTCTCGTCGACATCTCGCCGCTTCGAAGGCGGACTCTAACTAGCTAGAGTATTTCGTGGCAGGACTGCAGGACTCGCCAGAGGAGCTTGCATCGGTCGAATAGTTGAAGCAGCCGTCGGCGACAGCAGTGCAGCTTGGAGAACTCCTCCTTGCAGACGCAGCCGCTGGAGTGCCATCCGCGGGCGCAGCCGACCAGGCTATAATCGATATACTTCAGGACTTGGACCGAGCCATAGGCAGCGAACGGAGACAGCTATATTCCGAATCGGCCAAACCTTGGGCCTCGCGGGCCCAAAGTTCCCTCCAGGGAGGAGCCGGCTGGGCCCACAGATGGGCGAGGAGCCTGGAAGCCTGGAAGCCGGCATCAACCATCGCCAAGGGGCGATGATCAGGTCGCCCAAGCAGCATTCTAAAAGGGGAAACCGACCGACTTGCCAGCATCGGGGACACCACGGACAAGCCACAAGATAATCCAGTTCCAAGGGACATCGGTGACAGACTAGCCCGGGGACGGATGGACGGCAAGACTCTTCAGGAAGCAGCTAGGATTTGTCCAGTGACGACCGCCCCAATGTGCCACGTAGTCCCCGAGGCATCTCACGCTCATCACCGAGCAGCAAGCAGACATTGTCGCGCAGCTGTTGCTCCTCATCGAGAGCCTAGGTTTTATGCCCTCGCAGGTACAGGCAACAATCACAGCTCTTATCACGAAGCACAAGCAGCAAGATCCGCAGGCTACGAAACCAGCAATGAGATCGATCGGAATGATGTCAGGCCTGTATCGAGCTTGGGCTAGAGTAAGACAGTCAGCAGCGAGAGAACGGGACGGGAACCACGGGCGCCCATTCCTCGCTCACCAAGCAGGGCATTCCATAGTGGAGCTAGTTTTCAAGCAGAGCCTTGATTGCGAGTGCTACTCCAAGCGTAACGAACAACTAGATTCAGCTAAGGTTCTCCGCGACCTCAGCAACTACTACGAACATATTAACCGCAGAAAGCTTGCTGCCCGAGCCCTTCGTAGTGGTTCCCCAGCCACCCTCCTCAGGATCATCCTGGGAATTTACGCAAACCCAAGATATGTAGGGCTCCAGGACCTGGCGAGGTCGGTGGGTAACACAGTACATGGCATAGCTGCGGGGTGCGGGTTTGATACGATAGACCCCCTGGACTCTGGACCCAGCAGAACCCCTTATGTAGACATCTACATGCTCATAAACGATATCCTCTGAAAGAATCATGATTACAAGATCTGCCGCATCGCCAGCCGCCTGAACCGCGGCACCCAGAGCTTGCCAGATAGCATCCAGACCGATCTTGACAGCAAGATCGCCCCCGCCAAGACTCAGCTCTACGTTTCTTCAGACCAAGTGCGCCGTCAAGCGCAGCGCAGACTGCAAGCTCGAGCAGGCAGCACAATGGACATTTCGGGACCCAACCTCGGTTGCGAGACCGCAGCAGGAGCCCCCCAGCGCAGGTGGAGAAAGGATGGAGTTGCCAAAGCCCGGATGGACAGAATCCGGAAGAGGATGAGGAGACTTGGAGCCATCAGGAGAGCTGGAGGGGACACGCGCAAGATCTACGACACTGGCATTTTTTGCGGCAGCCTCTTTCGGCCACGAGGTCACGGGCCTCAACAACAGCCAGCTGGCCACGGCTCAGCAGCAGCATCTAAAAATAGCAGGACCCAAATGTGCCACTAGCAGCAGATGCCTGAGCCTCCTTCTGATCGGTGACCCCACGTGGAAACTTGCCCCAGGACCCGCTCTAGTTTGGCATTAAAAGCGTGGTCGGCCACCACCAGTCCAGCCCAAGGCCTTGCGCCCCTACCCTCCCTCCGCGCGAAGGGAGAGGCCCTTCGTGGGCCAGGCCCCCTCGCGCTGGAGCAGCGTTCGGGGCCCCTTCGCCGTTTTAATGCCCCCCTTGCATCGCATAGGCTGGACCCTGGTACCCCCCTTTGTATTTCAAGCTTTGGGGGGACAGCAATATCCTCGAACGTGCTTTTCGCCAGCTTTTGCGCGACCAAAAATGCAGCAAGCCCTGCAGCAGCAGCAGCTCAGAGAGCGAGCTGCTAGCAAGCTAGGTCACGGAGGCTCCCAGGTGGGCGCCCAAATTGCCACGAGAGTCTTCGCCAGCCCCAATTTAACCAAGCAGGGGCGAGGCAGTCTTCTAACTTTCCTCACGCAAGGCACCTGGACAAAGTCCAGGACCAAAGATGCAGGATATGATATAGACACCCAGTGCGAATGTGGTGCCCCCAATGACTCATTGCACCACCGTTTGTTGCAGTGCCCCATCTCGCAGGAGGAGCGAGACAGAGCACTATCGCCAGGGGAGCAGGATCTCATCCTTCAAGGACAAGATCCGCTCCTGAAATTCGGTTTCCAGATCAGACCTGAGTTTTAACGTTTGCCCCCCGAGCGGAACAGGGCTGACGAATTCCCAGTTTTGGTGCGCTGGCCCCGACGTTAGCCTGGGGGTAGTTTTCTCAGGACCTGTTTACATTGACGGCAGCTGCGGCAATTCGAGACACCCAGCTTTCCAGTCGGCTGGTTGGGCCGTTGTTAGCATGCGAAACGAACCCTTTGCGATTTTGTCAGGCCAGGTGGGCGACCTTTACACCTAAAGTTCGGGTGTGGCGGAGATGCTTACAATCATTGCTGCGTGCACCATCTCGCCCTTAGTTACCCAGGTCCACACGGACTACAAAGGCGCCACTGACCTTTTCCAGTCTCCTGGGTACCCCAGGAAGAACCAACACGCTGGGTTCAAGGTTCTGGCGGGCAAAGCTGTCGCGCCGCCGCCTACTTGTCTCGTGAAGGTGAAAGTCCACCAGAATATTACCCAGGATTTTGACCGCAATGATGACTATAACCATGCTCTAAGTAACGACGCAGCGGACAAAGCAGCTGAGCGAGCTGCAGAAATTCTCTGCTAACCATCCCAGTCGGAGCTAGAGCAGAGCAGTTACGGCCAAAGCATGCTGCGACGGTGCCTGTATTATGTTGCCAGGGCCCTCCCCAAGTGACCAGCGCTGGCCACGAAAGCGGGTGAGAAATCCTTGAGCCGCCTTGCCAGTAAGAACCCGCCCATCGGAGCTGCCTCGGCTGAATACGCCTGGGACCCCGGGGCCATCCCTCCTCCTCCGAGGCCCCCCCGCCCCTGCCCCTCCGAGCCCCCAGGGCCCGTGGGCGAGCTCCACCGCTGGGAATCTATGCGCGGCACGTTCATTTGCACCCTATGCCGAGTCAGGGCAAAGACCCAGGACCAGTACCTCAAGCGCCCGGATGAAGAGCGTCATGGGTTTTGCGCGGGCCTAGCCTCGCTCGCGCAAAGGCCCAGAGGCCATCAGTTTTTGATATTTGAATACGGGCCATCTTCAGGAACAGGCACCCGCAGCCGTTTATGTCAAGAGTGCCCGCGGGAACTTGCGTCGAACAACTCATGAAGCCAGCTAGCCCGCGCTCTGGAGCTGAGACACCCGAGGAGTGGAAAGGATTCCGCCCCTGTGTTTTCGCCTCCAGAGCCGCTCGAGCAATTTTATCGAAGAGCCGTCGCTGCTGCGCAGCAAATGCCCAGCGAGGCAGATCAAGACCAGGTGCAGACAGGCCCACACCAGGGATGAGGCCTGCCCATGGTCCTGACGTTCTCTACACCAGGGATGGGCAGAGCCGAGACGTCCTGGCGTCGCCTCACTCTTTGTGTACTTGTGCGCGTGTGTGTGCGCGCTCCCCGCACGCGTGTCAGGCACCCCGCTTCAGGGGGAAGGAGCGCCCACCCATTCTCTTGCGGCATTGGCCGCTGACTCGCCTTGGCGCGTTGCAGGTTCAATCTGGGATGTTGATATCGTGTCCCTGGCGGTGCAGGGTGCGCAGCCTGCCTTTGTCCCGAGCTTTGGGGAACCGACAGCTTGTCGAGTCATGCCGTCCTTTTCACTGCAGTGTGATGTTTTGGCGCTCTTGTGCTGCATGTGCGCGCGTGGGTGTTTTTGCACGCGTGTCAGGCACCCCGCCTCAGGGGGAGGAGCGCCGCACACTTCATCCCCCCTTCCTGTCTTGACGGTGCTGGTTACGCAACCAGCCTTGCACCCGAGCCTTGGGGTACCGTCATGCAGGAGGGACCCCACGGGGGCCCCGAGCACGGGGGTGGACAGGGTTGCCTGCCCGCCCCGACCGTGGCTCAACCCCCCTCTCGGTGCTGCTGCGGCCCAGTGTGCAATGCCACACCAGGCCCCAGCACCGCATTCAGCGTCGGCAGCGCACTGCGGCCGAGGCCGCTGTGGAGCACATCAGGTGGCCCAGTGCCACGAGGTTTCGGATTAGGGTCGGGTCGGCCAACCCTAACTTCTCCCACAGCCAGGTGATGGTCCTCCTCCTCCTCCTCCTCCTCCTCCTCCTCCTCCTCCTCCTCCTCCTCCTCCCCCTCCTCCTCCGAATCTAGCCTCGTCGGGTCCGCGCAGAGTTGGGTCGGCGGCGGAGCGCCCCCGCCGGCAGCGCCTCCCAGGCGTCTGGCGCTCTCGGGAGGGGGGTCCGGCGCCGGCCCAAGCGAAGAGTTTTGAAAGGTTCGTTTCGGCCGCTCTTGTCGACTAGACGTAAGAGTGACCTTTCGCCGGAGTGACATTTGGTGCGGGCACAGATGGGCCCTCAAATGGCTGAAAACGAAGCGGTAGCAGCGGCTTGCGCACCCAGGTTTGGTCTCCCCGCGGCCCCCAAAAAGCCGCGCACCAAAGGTCACTCATACCCAGGGTCATTTTTGCGTGTAGCCGATCTTGGTGCCTCGAATCTGCACGCCTTGAAAGGGAGAAGAGCTCACGGTGCTCATTTTTCCAACAAGTCTTCGACAGTGTTCTTTGATTTTGGGGGGGGCCAAGGTCCTCTCGTTTCTAAGTGTTCTGTCCTGGGCCTCTTCCTGGCCACTAGGGGGCCAGGAGCAAGTCGAAACGAGCACAATTAGAAATGAGCACGATTAGAAATGAACGACGCGTACGCCTGGGTGAAGAGTTCATGGGTGCGATGCCCCACAGCAGTGCCTGCTTCATATGGGGCAAGATTTGTTCTCCTCTGGGGCCCATCGAACTATAGTTCTTGTCATGTTGTCAGCTCGACAGCCCCTCTCGTTTAGATCGACGAGAATTGCGGTCGCGACGGAAAGAATTGTTGTCAGAAGGGTTACGAGGGACAGCAACTCTTCGGAAATTGGAACATATACATTACCAGGGGCCGGCTGTTTCTCAATCCCAGGATTTTTACGGGTAGGGGAAAACGTCGGCGTGGTGTGGTGTACATTTTTTCCCCCGCTTTCCCGGGGAAGCAACGAAACATGTATCCACCAGGATCCTGTATACACCAGGATCTGCTTTCCTGTTCGAATCTGTGCCGGGCCGGAAAAATCGTCGGTGTGTAGAGCTCGGCTCCTTAATTCTCGTTCCACATGAACAGGCAATGCTGCTGGGCATCGTGCCCCCCTCTTCTGCCCCCCCTGCGGGCGTGCAAAAATTCAAGGACGGTGGCAGAGCTCCGAGCGCCTGCTGTCCGACCAGGAGCGGCACGAGTCGCCGCCGCGCCTGCACCATCCGCCCCCGCCGCTCGGGCTTTGACCTTGACCATCCCTCGGACGGGGCTACAGACCCGTGCGAAAAGCACTTGGTGTTTTTCTACGCGCGCACACCCCCAGCCCCCCAACCCCGTGCGACAAGCAACTGCTGTTTTGCTACGCGCGCACACACACACACACACCAATTTCAACGTTCAATGCGGTGCCGAATTGTCTTTTTTGAAGTTCGCTGGTCGCCCGATCAACATACAAAATGGGGGGGGCGAGGAGGCTCACCAAACACAAGTTGCTTTCGCACGGGGTCGTAGGACGCTCCCGAAGCGTTCCGGATCTCTCCGAGAAGGCCGCGGTGCCGGAAGCATCATCCGGAGCCGCGAGGTCTCAGAGATTCTCGATTTACCCCCACGCGGATGTATCCTCGTCCTGGCGTCGTCTCACCATCCCCTGCCCGAGAGTTTGCTTCGGCGGCGAGCCCAGCGGGGAAGTGAGAAGGGGCGGGCCTTCTCAGAAGGCTCCGAAGTTCCCCAGCCTTCTGAGAAGTTCCCTAAGCCCGCGAAGACAAAGAAAACTTCTCAGAAGGCTGGACCCTCACACCCGACGTTGCAAACAGATTGCAACATCGCTGAACATCACGACCGCGGCCCGAGTCGCCATCTGCCCGCGCCATTTTTCGAGCCGGATCGACCTGTGAGGGTCCCGCCGGGGCCCGAAATTGCGCGAAAACGCCTGGTGTAAAAGAATTGCAACGCCGGGATCCCAGGGGAGGGCCTGAGAGAAGCCCCGAGTCCTTCTGAGCAGGCCTTCCCAGACATGTGACGCCTTGATGTTTGCAATATGGGGTCTCCGGAAGTACCGACCCTTCTCCCCGGGACGGGCTCTTCGTCCTGAGTCGTGTTCTGAGGGTCCCGAGGCCCAGCGAGGGCCTCTCCCCGAGGCCGACGGTGGCCGAAGACCTTCCGCCCAGAGACCTTCCTCTGCGACGCGCCTTCTCCTTGGCATCGCTCGGACGTGTGCATTTTTTCCTTCGGCGAGGACCATCGAGGAGCATCCTGGACCATCCTGCGAAAAAAAAAACACGCACGGAACCGAAAAATGCACAGGGCATGGACGTCCGAGCGACGGGGAGACGACGCGCCCTCTCCGCGTCGCCGTCCCCACGCCCCCCTCCGCTCGCCGCCGACTGCCAGAGACCGGGGCCCGTCGCCCGCCGGCGGAGCCCCGCGCGCCCCGTCGCCACGGGGGGGCCGCGCCGGCGGGCCGCCGCGGCTCCGGCGGCGCGGCGGCCTCCCGGCCGGTGCGCCTTTCAGGATCGGGGGTGGACAGGACCCCCCAGCAGTGACAGGTCGATTCGTGGATTGTCCGTTTTCGGTTCTCGGGAGGGCGCCGTGGCCGTTATGTTCCAGGCTTGCGCCCGCCAGGTTTGGGCCTCAGGTCGTTTTCACTGAACCACGTTTTGGCAAAGGGGGGTCTGTCCATCCCCGATAGGAGTGAGTCGGGCAGGTCCCTTCTGCAGGAGGGATACTCTCCAGAAGAGTCCACAAAAATTGTCTGGGGGCGATGTGTGGACGTTTTTTCTTTCAGCTGTTTGAACAACCATGTTTTTACGTTTCCTTCTTCCAGGATCCACCTGTAGAAGGACACGCCCGACCTGACTGTAGGAGCTGGCTGTGATGTTTTTCTTTTTGTCGTCGTGGGCGGGCCAGTCTCGGGCGCGACGAAGGGGCAGGATCCCACACAGGATCGCGTCGTCAACTAAAGTCAGCACGGGAGGTCTTTTGCCATCTTCGGCCTCGGGGGGCCGGGCCTCGGGACCGTCAAGAAAGATGTTGGATGAAAACCCCTTCCTGGGGAAAGGGTCGGGGCTTCCATGGGCCCCGCATTGGCAAAACCAGGACGCCGCATGTCAGGGGTAGGGAAAGCCCTGAGACACCTGGGCGTTGCTATTTTTTTCGAGCCGGGCGTGTTCGTCCAGTTTCGGGCCCTGGGACCCTCACAGATCGATCCGGCACCAAAAATGACGCAGAGTGATGGGGTCCGGGGCCCCGGTCGTGGCTTTACACGGTGTTGCGGCTTTTTTGTTTGCAACGTCGGATCTCAGAGAGGGGGGGTCACGAAATCTGCTGCATGTAGCTGGCTTCCGCCGCCGGCCCCATCCCTCGAGACATGGGCGCAAGGAGGCGCCAGGAAAGCCAGCCACGAGAGCAGATTCTCTACCCTGCCCTTTGCTTTCCTGCCCTTTCGACCCCCCCCCGACAATCGACAGAAAGGCGGCTCTGCCTGGCGATGTTCGTCGCTTCTGGGCCCCGGGGCCCCTGGAGGCTGCTCGTCGCCACGGCCGGAGGCTCATCGGAAGGCGAGTCGGGATGGACCGCGCCAGCGGTCTGGGGGCAGACTCGAAGCGGGCGTGGGCCAGGCTGTCGAGCAGTGGCGAAGCGTCCTGGCTCGCCTAGAGCCCTACCAAGCAATGTGTTGCTTGCTCTTTATATATATATATATATATATATACACACACACATATAACAAAAACCAAAAATAATCAGAAAAACAAACAACAAACAAGAAACAAAGAAAAACCTTGTGTGGATCCCACCAAATGTTCTTAGAACATGTCGGGCTGATCTTGTCTTGGTTTAACACATCGGGTTTATGTTCTAAGAGCATTGCTTTTGTTCCTAGAACATGTTGGGGTTCTACGATCGGGGGAACGTAAGACTCGAGTAAGCCGGAACTCGGGTTTGCCGACGTCTTTTGACGAGCGCGTCCTGGATTTTGACGGTCCTGTTTTCGTGGGATGTTAGCAGCGGGAGCTCGCGTCAAATTTCAGATTGGGCCTCGTTATTTTTATTATGGCCCCAACAGGCCAACCCGAGTCCCCCGTACCCGATTCTTACGTTTCCCCGATAAGAACATTTCGTGGTAGGACTATAGACTATAGCAATGCTGGGACGGTCGCTCCCTGCTCAAAGGCCGGGGAGCCGCCGTGGTCTTCACTGGCCCGCCCTTGGTTACCCCGCGCGGAAGACAGCGCGGGAGAAGGCGCTCACTGGAAACGCTGGCAGGCGCAAAACACCCGCTCGCAGGGGGGAAGACAGAGAGCCCACCACGCATCTACAGTAGGGGCGTGTGCCAAGAAACCACTTGGATTTTGCCAGGGTGCCCTGGGTTTCTTGGATTTCGATGTGCCCCCAATAAGATCTTGACGATTTTCGATCGACTAATTTGGGTATTCACTGAACAAATCGCGGATTTCAGGGTTGGGTTTCTTGCGGAGGTTTCTTCTGGCCGAGCCCCCACTGTAGTGTTGTTCTGTTCCAAGGAGCTCCGTTTGTCGTCCGCCGCCGGCGTCGTCGACGACGTCCATTTCGTCGTCGTCAACTTCAGCGGCCCCGCCACCGTCGCCGTCGTCATCTGCCTCACGGCGGCGTCGTCGTCAGCGTCGGCTTCGCCGTGGCCAACGTCAGCGTGGCCGTCACTGCCACCGCGGCCGTCGTCGTCAGCGAGCGTCGGCGTCGGCGACTTCGCCGTCGCTATCGCTATCTGCATCGCCACTGTCGTCGTCAGCGTCGGCGTCGGCGGCGGCTTCGCCGTCGCCAATATCATCTGCATCGCCGTCGTCGTCGTCGTTGTCGTCGTCAACGTCGGCGTATGGTCATCAACATCGTCGCCGTCGAGGTCGGCGTCAGTGCAGGCGTCGGGGCCGTCGTCAACGTCGTCTTCACCGCTACATCGTGGTATGTGTCGGCGTCCGCGGCGTCGTCGTCGCATGCGCCTCCCGCGTGGGCGGGGCGCGAAAATCCGTTGTCGCGCTTCATGCGTAGCGGTCTGGGCCAGAGCGGCTGCTCTTCTCCAAGACAGTTGCGCGAGGGCAACAAGGGCTCAAAGACACCTCAAAGACAATCGCGCGTCGCACATCGCAGGTTGGGGCGAGTTGACCTATGTCCCTTCTAGATTCTCAATCCTTCGTCCTCGATCCTCGATCCCTCCTCCTCGATCCTTGAACCTCCCCTTTCCCCGATTCCGCCATTTGAGCCAGCTACTCAGTTCTTGAAGAAGCCCCTGCTGCACCACGGACATGGTGCCAGGCGGGGCGGGCCTGGCAGAAGTCACTGACGACCTCCAGACTTGCCTGACGCCTGACCCTCTTGGTCCTGCCCCATCCGGCTAACAACTGCATCCGTCAGGTCAGAGTGCAACTCACAGAAGCTTTCTTGGTCGTCCCCATGGCGCCCAATGGCGCGCACAAAGCGGACACAATGCATTTTCCCTCACATGGCGCTGTTGGTCGTTATTGGTTGCAATTGGGCGTTGTTTGAGCGTTCTGCGGCGCTACCGCTACTGGGCGCTATTGCGTAGGCGCTACTTGGCGCCTGTGCGCGATCGCAAATATAAGTTCAATCCAATCCGAGCGGAGGCTTCCATGATGCACGATGGAACTTGGGGAGTTGGTCGTGTCGCACTCGCTGAAAAAGTCGCCCTTGCCGGCTTTGCCCGCATCATTGGGGCAAGGACATCCGAGCTTTGAGACACCAGCCGTCGCCCACGCCCCACAAGCCGTGCAGAACCGCAACTTCTCCTCTGGCGCAGCGGTCGACAACGTGGGGGCGGCCCGCGCCAGGGGTGCCATATTCGGTCCGAGCTCCTCGATCCCTGCCCCTCGAGCCCTGAGGTCCGACGTTGTGGAAACAATCGCAACACCGTGAGAGATCAAGGCCGGAGCCCTGTATACCCGAACTTCCTGCTGCACTTCTCGAGCCAGATCGATCTGTCGAAGGCCCCGGGGCACGAAGCCAGGCGGAAACGCCCGCTGTGACACGAGTGCGACGCTGCCGGCTCCTCGGCGTTCGATCCCCTCTCTTCGGCCCGGTCTCCGGGGGCGCGCTCCGGCCAGGACTCCGGGGCGACTCTGCGATCCTCTGCCTCGATCCCTCGTCCTCCTCGATCCTCGATCCTCCTCTTCCTCGACCCTCGTTCCTCGATCCCCCTCGTGTTCTGGCCCTCCTCTCCCTCGACCCTCGATCCCCCCCCTCGAGCCGCGGTCGTCCCGGCCGTCGTCGGCGGCGCCCACGCCGCAGAGGGCCAGCTGCGCCCTCGGGCGCCCCCGGCGGTCGGCGACTGGTCGAGGAGCTCGGCAGCGCTCGGACGTGTGCATTTCTGGGGGGGCGAGGGCTGTCGAGGAGCCTCCTGGGCCATCCTGCGAAAAATCCGGCGCGCCATCGAGGAACGCACGGGGAGTGGACGTCCGAGCGATGGCGAGGGAGGAGGAGGAGGAGGAGGAGGAGGAGGAGGAGGAGGAGAGGCCGAAGAGGAGGAGGAGCAGGAGCAGGAGCAGGAGCAGGATGAGGAGGAGGGACAGAGGAGGCATAGAGGATCTAGGAGGAGGAGAAGGACTAGGACAATGAGGAGGAGGAATCGAGGATCGAGCCATCGTCGTCCGTCGTCGTCGCGCCACGCAGCAGAAGCCGCGTGCGCCTCCGCGCACCGGCGACGCACGACGACGGCTCGAGGAGGAGGGGCGGAGGAGGAGGCATAGAGGATCTAGGAGGAGGGATCGAGGATCGAGGAGGAGGGATCGAGGATCGAGCCGCTGGCGTCCGTCGTCGGCCCTCGGCCCTCAGCACAGGCCGTGTGCGGCGGGCACCCCGCGGGGCGGCGTCTTCACCGGCGCTTGGTGCGGCTAGAGCGGGAGCTCGGGCTGGGCGAGAGCCCAGCAGGCGCGGGCCCAGCCCATCTCCTCCTCCTCCTCCTCCTCCTCCTCCTCCACCTCCTCCTATTGGCTCCTATTGGCTCCTATGCCGTCTGTCACCGCTGGCCGATGGCCTGCAATAAAGCGGCGAAATACAGTGCTGGGTAAAAGGGGATGAATTCGAAGGTCAGGGAGGGGGTCACGCCGCCTTGGACGCCCAGCCCGACCCACTCCAGACCAGGGGAACAGATCTTCCCACGAACTTCTTCGTGCTGGGATCCACTCCTCGCTTCAGCATCTTCAGAGATTCTTCTGCGTGGCGGTTGCGCGGACCCCATGGCATTCTGAGAGGAGATAGGCACGGGCCCGAGCGCTCCCGAAAGCGCTGCAACGCACACACCAGGCAACCTTCCCCCCCATAAGCCACAGACGGTGGCTTCTATGGCTGGTCCGCGCAATCCGTGGTGGCCCACCGCAGGAAAACATACAGACTGCGGCGCGGGTCTTCCCCCGCTCTCCGCAGCGCAAACACATATATGATCCTTTCGCCACGCATTCTACCGCATGGCCCTTCGGGTCAGGAACCAACTCCAACAGAGAGGGTTTGGCCCGCCGAGGCCTGCGGATTTTTGAAACATCAGGAAACTCACGGGCCGACAAATCATCCATAATCTCAGCAATCAGCCAAGCTGACTGCTTGACCAGGGGCTCCAATGCTTTAAACCTCCTACGCGTCCACGGATTATGGGGTTGGGCCTGGGCTCCTAGACGAGCCAATTCATCAGCCCTCTTGTTCCCCTGCCATTTCCAGTCTTCAAATCCTAACCTACGGGCCTGGGTCAGGGAGAGGTGAGACTCAATCTTAGTCACGATTATTCTGTCTATGCCGATCTCAGAGGCCAACCTAAAGATCTCCATCCAGAGCTCTGAAAAGGCAACCTTCTCCAGATCCTGCATGGGCCCCAGCCTCCAAGTGTCCAAGACGGCCTTGCAATCTGTGACTATCTCCATGGCCTCAGGCCCTGCGAGCCTCATGGCCATCAACAAAGCGAACACCTCCCCACAGCCGCTGGTCTGGACCGCGTGCGACAAGGGCCCGTACGCCGATCCAGTGACATATCCACCCCAGGAATCCACGGACAACGAAACCACAGCCCAACCAGCTCTAGTAAACTGCGGCAGAGCGGGGTCCAGGCCAGACCCATCCAGGCAGATCCTAGAAGCCAGGTGTCCTCCAGGAGGATAGAGGTCCCACTTATGCCCCGCGACCGCGTAAGGTGCTGGCCATTGCCACTCGGGACTCAGAGCCAGGGCGCGGGTGACCAACAATTTGTTGGCGGGCGCGCTGTCCAAGGCAAGCAGCTCGCCGACGTCTAAGTCGCGGCGAACAGCGTCATGGGCTGGGCAGCGGCAAATCCTGTGGCTGGGCGTCCCCAGCTCCTCTCCGCACAGCTGGCACAGAGGGTCAACGACTCGACGATCGTCGAACAAGGTGAGCTGAGTGGGGCATCCTCCCGAGACAATCCCAGCGAGCCCCGTAGCAGCCGTGAACCTCCCTTGGCACCTGAGCTTCTGGAGGACCTTGGTGATGGGCTCCAGCATGGGCCCTCCCGTCAACCCAGGAACCCGCTCCCCATCTCCAAGGCCTCGAAGTAGCATACCCCGAACAGCTTCGTGCAAGGCCGTTTTCAAGGACCTGTAGCCCAAGAAACTCACATCAACCTCGACACCCCGCACAGTGACAAACTTACACCAGCATTTCACCTGCCAGCCTAACCTTTCCACTGTGAGAACGACAGCGCCCTCTGGTCCACGGACGTCTTGCCACCCACGAACAGGTCGGCTGCAAAACGAATTGAACCACTCCTGCATGATGGGCTGCTCCGCCCACGCCAAGCGCGCGGTCTGTCCACACGCAAGGATGGGCAACACATGCACGTCGTACGATGGGTCTGCCTTGGGCCCCACCGAAAGGAGAAACTCCAGCGCCCTGCACCTTCCCTTGGGCGCTCCGAAAAGGGCACTCCCGAGGCACGCTCGGAGCTTACCCAGGGCCGAGGTGGACATCCCATTGGCACGGCAACCGTAAGTGGCCGAGGGGAGGCATCCAGCGCGAGCAACCCTGAACATCCCCTTCTTGGCACTCCTGAGCCCACGGATCTTTTTCCTTCGAAGACGAACCTTGTGGAGGCGCTTCTGGAGGACCTTTGAACCCTTGGCTCCTTTCTGCATGGCCTTACGGCAGGCGCTTCGCGTCCGTCGGCGGCAAGCCAAGGCCCACGAACTCTCTGCACGCAACGGCTACCCCTCCTGACAGGCCTCCAGCACTGGTGACCTCGGACGGGTGAATCTGAGCCTGCCAGCCCAGCTTCTTAAGCTGGGATTCACATTCGGCACGATCTTGAGGGTCAACAGTTAGTTCCTGAAGCATGACGATGTGACTCGACGCTTCCCCCTGGAGAAACTGCTTGGCTGACGACCATGCCGTGGTATTACAGGTTTCGGGACAGAAAAACTCTCCCTGGCCCGACCCTGAAGATTTGTGCTTGAGCCTTTGCCCTGGCTGGGCAGCTCGCTTTTTCCGAATTCGCTGGGGCCCTGTACGAGGCCAGGCACTAGGGGGGGAAGGAAGAGCAGAAGAGGGCAGGTCGGGGGGATCCGAGCTCGGCGGGGGGCGGGGGCCAAACGGGCGACCGAAAGAAGACCCCAGGAGGCCGCGAGGGCCCCACCGCCGCTTTGCCCCACCAGCTGGTAGGACAAGGCAGGCTGCTACCCGCCTGACCTCTTGTCCTGCCCCTGGCCTGCCTCTCCTGCCGCGCCTGGGGTGCCTCCAGCACCCCCATCCAGCGCATCTTCCTCCTCCCTTGCTGCCCAGAGCCTCAGCGGCCTTGGTGCGAACGTCAACCTTGGGCGCCTCGGCAGTGGCTCCACCACCGCCACAGGATGCATTGGCTGCGCTTGGGCGGGCGTCAGGGCTACCATCAGCAGCAGCATCTGGATGACCGCCTGCAGGAGGCTCCGCCGCCGTGGTCCGCGCAGCGCCCCCTTCGCCCTCGCCCTTGCGCTTCTTGTGCAGCCGGTTGGCGTGCTCGGAATGTTCCTTGCGCAACCTCTCCGCAGTCTCTTCGGCGCTCCCAAAGAGCTGCTTCGCCATGTCCTGTACGCCCTTGCGCAGCTTGTCCTTCCTTGCAGCTGCCTCATTCCTGTCGGTGTCCGTGAACTCGTAGATATCGGCCAGCCCGAAGAAGTCGTCACAACCCTCGAGGTCGATGCACGACACGTCCCCCGCGAGCAACTGCTCCAAGGATATCTTCGGCTTCCCAGCGGGCTGGCTGTTGTGGGCTTGGCTGTACATGGCGCTGAGCAGGCTTTCGTACTCTTCATCCGCGTCCGCGAGCTTGGTCCGCAGCAGCTCGACCTCCGCCTCCTGGTCCAGAACTGCTTGGCGGAGGCGACCCAACTTGTCGATCGCCCCGTCCAGCTTCCTCTCCAGGCCCTGGACCTGCTCATGCGCCCGATGAGCCCGCACCTGGAGCGGCGGCTCCTTGGGCTGGACCGCCTCCTTCTTCTTGAAACCCAACAACTTCTCATACTTCGTGACCGGCACCATGTCGCCAGTCTTCTGGCCCAGGCCTAGGGAGATGAGCTGCTCAATCTCGGCGACCGTGAGCTGCTTGTCTCCTTTCCCCAGGCCTGGCGGCGGCTGCAATCCGACTGAGCGGGGCTCGCCGTCCCCCGCCTCCTCCACCGCGAGCCCATTATCCTCCGCCTCCGCGGGGGTGTTCCAGGCCACCTGGCAGTGGAGGCGGTACCACGTACTCCAGCCGTTCTTCTTGCAGCCGCAGTGCTCGCATTTCCACTTACGATTGGGCCCTTTGGAGCCGCCACGCTTGCTACTACCACTCTGGTCGGCCCACGAGACACTCTTCTGGTGTCCGCTCGAACTGTCATCTCTCCACGCCATGAAGAGACTTGCGCCCGAGACTCTGAGCGAACAAAACGTGGAGCGCCAAAAAGGGCGGACCCTCACCCTGGGCAGGGCCACTGATCGAGGGTCGTGCGGGTCTCTGACCAGCTTGAGCCAAAGCTACGGATCCTCCTCCTCCTCCTCCTCCTCCTCCTCCTCCTCCTCCTCCTCCCCCCCCTCCTCCTCCTCCTCCTCCTCCTCCTCCTCCTCCTCCTCCTCCTCCTCCTCCTCCTTGCACCAAGCGCCGCAGGCCTCACGCGGACCTAGGGAGGCAGATCTGGGCCCTCGTTGGTGATTATTTCTCGGATCCTGGGGCGCTCGATGTTGAGAAGGTCAAGACCCACTCGGGCCGTGATCCCACGGTCTTCGAGGGCCTCGAGAGGCTCGACGTCATCAGGAACACCCCAGGCCAAGGCCAAAGCTGCGTTAGATGATTATCCCGCCCGGCAAATTGAGAAAGTCTGGCAGGAGCGTTCAGATGATGCTTGTAATATGTGAAATGTTTGTTGCCAGCATGACCATGCACGCTGGTACCTGTGCAGCCACCACTGGCCAGCAGAACCAAAGGGCCGGGGCGCGGGAGAGGTGGCGGGCTCGGGCTGGACCTCCTCCTGGGACCTCCCCTCACTCCCTCCTCCTCCTCCTCCTCCTCCTCCTCATCATCACCATCATCATCATCATCATCATCATCATCCTCATCCTCATCCTCGTCATCATCATCATCATCATCATCAGCATCATCATCATCATCCCTATCCTCGTCCTCCTCCTCCTCCCTCTCCTCCTCCTCCTCCTCCTCCTCCTCCTCCTCCTCCTTCTCCTCCTCCTCCTCCTCCTTGCATCAGTATGATCATCGTTACCATTACCAGTACCATTATCATCACCATCACCACTACAATTGCCATTACCGTTACCCTTACCATTACCATTACCATTACGAGCATCACCCCCACCATCATCATCATCGTCCTCATCATCAATGCTACCATCACGATGATCAACGTCACCACCACCACCGTCATCATTGCCATCATCAGCGCGATTACCGTCAACACCATCCT